CAGTTGGAAATCGAGGGCGAGTTTTTGTGGTGGGGTCTGGATTGAGTTGCTTTAGCGGGCACTTCCATGGATGTGCACACATAGGGTCGAATGCACCGAGGCAGCGTGGAAAAGTGGGAGAGGAGTGACGGACGTATGTCGCGGCTCCAAGCACTCTTTCGTCAGTCGTACTGCGACAGACTCTCAAGTGACCTACCAAGCTGATGCGAGATTCGAAGGCTCGATCACAAAAAGGGCAGGGTAGAAATGAGTCCCCACTACCGAAGGGAGGGGTAACTCTGCTTAGGGAGAAGAGGGGGGGGGGGCGGAGTGCCCTCATTGGTGATGCACGTGTTTTTTGAGATGTGGTGCGGATTGGTCGTATTGATATTGCACTGTTTCTGCATATATCCGACACGGCCGATCGTGGCAAGAATGTCTATTGACACTATAGGCACGGCTGAAGGAATTAGATGATTGCGTTTTTGGCACTTGAGTCTTGTGCGCCTTCCTCTTTGTATTGACAGCAGCTAGTCGGTTGGCTTCGAAGGTGACAGCTCCAGTTTTTACGGCAGTGCACCACAACTGTCGATTACAAGCGAGGACTTTCTAAATCAGGATTTATTTGCATACGCTTGCAGGAGATTCGTAGGGACAAAAAATCCTTCCTGGCAGTTTACCTTCATTATTCTTCGGAGGCAGGTGCGGTGGAAATTGCCGGGTTATCTGGCTCGATTTTTCCCACGGTTAACGACACCGCCCCGTGCAAAAACAGTGTTAAGACCACTGCCCTGTACATTCCCAGTTCCGTGTTGGGGATATCCCAGCTGTTTCACATGAAGTTATATGGTTATTAAACGTCTGGCTGGCATTGGAGATCCGAGCGCAATCTCGTCGATCTTGGTGCTTCTTGAAATTGCACTTCCTGGGTCGACAAATGTGTCCGCAGACGCGAAACGAGTACCAGTCACGCTGATCCTGGGCGTGTTCTACTAATCAGATGATGGCGGCCGATGCAGGAATATGTTTTCTCGTGTTATGATCAGACCGAAGTTGGAGCAACTGCCGTCGGAAGTCCACTCTCCGCCGCATGTTCTTAGCCGCTGTGATGTTTAGTATTCATTTATACGCCAGCACATCCTGTACACGGACATTGTAGGCCAGAGCAGTTGCTCGCATGTGGCTAATGTTAGGCGGTTGCCCGTGAGTTCATGTGATGTTGATTCCTTACATCAACATGACGATCATAAGGCTGAGGACGATGGAAGCAGGTACGCGACCCTGCTTTGTTCGTTTTTCCCCAGCGAATTTTTCATACACTATCCCATTGTCCATGGGGTGCGCCATCATATCCTGCTCACGGGCATTTGTGCGCCCGACGTCATGGCGAAGGCGAAAATGTAGCAGGACATGTACTTGGCTTCCAAAATTTACGCAATGAAAGTTTCTGTTTACATATGACTTGGCCTATTTCTATCTTTCGTTGGGCGACTGTTTTCCAATAAATAACTAAAAATGTCATGGTCGTGGAGCCAAGTGAGGAGGGAAGCGCAGGAGAAACGGCTGGTCGAGATGAGGACATATTGACCCCCCTGAGGACGAAAAGGTGCTTGACCAGCCGTAAAATTACCTAAAATGAAACGTAGATCATACTACTCTCTTGGAAAAGTGCTTGGCTGTATGAGAGTCGTGGAAGTGTAGGGTGACTTACAAAGCAGAGTATCCTGAAGGAGACAGGAGAGAGGAGAAACCTGTACTCCCAAGCCAGTCGCTCCATTACAGTGCCGGACATACGCAAAATCGTCGAACAAACTGACTTCAGAAGGTGCGTAAAAAGACTGGGCTTTATGAGACCTGTCTCTGTGATCCAAGGCTGCGGGAAGAAGTAATAGTCCTTGGTCGATTGAGAGTTCGAATCAGAGGGAGTTGGCGGCAGTTCTTCCGTCATCGAACTCGTAGCATCCAGCCTAGATTGCATTAAACAAACGGAATATGAGTGCGAGTGCGGATCTTGTAAATTAACTGAGAGACGGGCACTGCAGAGAACAAAAAAATTCTAGACAGTGAAATGTGGAAATGCAACGGTAATGTGAGCGAGACTTTCGGGTGTTTCCGGACAAATATTAACTCTGGAAGTATAAAACGCTTCCAGGCATCGAAATCGCCTACTTGGGATCACAATTATTCCCCCTACATGGGTAATGAAATCAACGGTTGACTTAGACTTGCAGCGCGGTGTAAGGAACAAGGGTCTGATTATGGAATATGTTAATCTGGGGGTAAATCAATCTGCAGGCCTATGGAGCTGACAGTCACCCACTAGGGCGATTCAGCGAAGGTCGAGGTTACGGTAACCAGGCTGCAGGTTAGCTAAGGCATCCGCGGGTGGCGGATAGTGCGATTGCCTTCGGCGAAGGCCGGCCGTGAAATATGAAAGGCTCTCGGCTCGACTGATAAGCGGTCATGGTGGTAATCTTTTTTGGGTGTGGCTGGGAACCGATGTGGTAACAAGCCAGTCTGTGATTTACAAGGCCCCACCCTAAACCACTGGGTCAGCGCTTACTAGGGACGGCAGAAGCGACTGCCATCAGGCTAAGGAGGCCGGTCCTGTGCGCTCAGAAGAACCTCTTGCACGCCCCGTGGCTACCGTGGCCAAAGATAGATTGCATGCATATCTTCGCTCCCCCTCTCCCCCTGACCCAGCGACACGGCTCTACCTAACCCTCACTGCCATTTACGACCTCCTCTACCCCTCCCCCTATTCACACACCCCGATTGTATGAAAAGACGAACCGTAATCGATTTCTCATCGCTCACACGTTTTATTGTGTGCCTCGTTCCCATATAAATAGACTGGCCCGACGAGTTTATCGAAAGCACGTGTATGCTTGCCAAATACCCTTCTGAATTGTTCCATAGGAATTATCGCATTACCATATGGCAAATGCTGCTCGTGAGTCGGCAAGGTTTCGGAAAACCTTGAGATTTCACAGTGGTGTGCTACGGTGTTAGACGAAGACGTTCACCTTCGAATACAGATACCACCGTCCATTGAGTTGTTCCATATCCACTGGCTGGATTTGTTGAGGGTAAATGGCGTCCAGAGGAGCATATTTTTACCTAACAGGATTCACTTAAAGAGCCGCAGTTTGAATAGAGAAAGTGAGTGTCACTTAGTCAATTTAGAAAGTCTTCTACGAGGCTGAAGTCTTCACAACTAAATATTCTTCAAAACACGAGGGCCCGAACAAGACAAGTTGAGGCGGACAAAAGACAGTTGCGTTAACGTGTCCGAAGAGGACCATAACTCTCGGGCGACGGTGGCGACTTGCAATTGAAGTAACTCGTGAGAAAGTGGCGCGGGATCAGTCTAATCCCTCTTTAAGTGAAATTTTTATGGATATAAATGATTTTCAAAATGAGATCCAACCGACTAGGACGTTGCACATACATTCGACCACGTGCTCCATGCGATACTGCAGGCAAATTGGATTACGGTCAGGAAGATGTTCACAGCATCGACCTCACTGTCTCCTTACCACGCACACTGTACTGACGCAATTTTCGGTCTGAAAATCCAAACAGCATGATAGCTGTAAACTTGCCAAGCCAGGAGGCCTAAGATGCAGTTAGTTGGAGTATGTGCATGCCTCAATCTGTCTTCCCAGAGCCAATCGGTCATGGAAGAAGGAGCAGGTCAAGGCGGCTGGAGATGGGGTTGGCCAGAGCGGCCAGTCAAATGCAAGGCTCCCTTTTAATGCGTGCCACACATGTGCTGCTGCCTCCTTCAAATCAGACTTTAATCAGACATCTGTTCAATATGAGGCATAGGGCTCGTTCCGGCTTGACGACGGACTGTTGTTCCTTTTGGCGAGAAAAAAGGCAACAATACGACAGCTCTTCTGTCCACGTCGATGAAGACGCAGTGCAACTTGCGTGCGGATTGGAGTACGATTAGGTGGACTAAGGAGCATCAAAGTTACTCGTCTTCCAATTGCCCCATCACGTTCCAGTGGCAAGGGAAAATCGAGAGGACCAGATAAGACCGAAAGTGCGGTGATTAACGAAAAGGAGTCGGCGCCTTTGCGCGACAAGCGTGGGTTGGCCCCTACATGTATAGGAACTGTGTCTCAATGACGATCATTTGACTCGCGCCAAAAAGTTGCAGGAAACGGTCATACCAAAAAACATTGCTGTTGGATTTTCAGACTATGGGAAAACCGACTTATTCGTCAGTCGGAAGTCATTTTAGGCATGACATTTAATGAACAGTGATAGTGCAAAGCTTGTCTAGCTAGTCATGATGGGAATACCAGGCGCTAGGTCAACCCCACCCTTTTTCTCCCGATCATCAACTAGTTGGAAGTCAGGGTGAGGCTGATTGGAGAAGAAGAGATGAGGCACATTGCCAAATGTGGCGTGAAGCCTTCGTCCGACGTGCGTTACACGCATGGACACACGACAGTTCGACCGTCGTTGACGACGAAGACCACCGTGTGCTTCACAGCAGGTTGACACAATACGTACGGTGTCTTGCGAGTGAATTAGTTTATAGTGATAGTAGACCTGCGCAGCATCCATCGCACTCCCGCTGTCGAGATCAAGTCAAAAACACCGGAGGTGAGGGAGGACGCAGGTGGCTGACGCGACCGAAGCCGCCTCCAAGGCATGCCGTCACAGTCGACTCGGATCCCACGGAGCGGGAGCGCCATAGAGGTCACATTAGCGAGGAGCCATTACAGCCTGACTCTCAGACCACCAGTCCGCCACTCTACACAAACACATATTGGGTTGACTGCGAGGTCAAAGTTATCCCATCGGTTGGCAACCTTCCAAGCCACGATTTTGAGCGCAAAGTGATAGTTTAAAGCGCGTCCGGTTGTTTATAATGACAGACATGAAGAACGAACATAGGCGGAGACTAGGAGAATTTTAGAATTTACCTTAAATGTGCCTTGCTTGCGAGAACCGAAGGATCTTCACGGGTCAAGGTAATACTGCAAGGAACGAGAAGGGGTGCCGGCGAGGGGGTGAGGCGCCGTCGTTTGACTTGCTGGCGGGCTTCGGGATCTTTCACGTGAACCAGCCATAGTCGCAGGTTTGCTCGATGCACATATCTGGGCTCCGTCAGACCCAGCATAAATACCTCGAACAGACATGTACATATAAGGTTAGTGATGAAAAGACGCGTAGAGAAAAACCAAGCCGTGTTAGAAGAAATGGAGAAGAAACCTCACTGAGTTATTAGCAGTGGCAAAATAAACGGACGTTGGAGGAAGCATCTCAAACGCGAATGACCCAAGGAGGTAAATTAGTGAACAAGTTAGAAAACTCAAAACAATTTACTCCTCAGATTCGAGTCCAGCCGTTACCAACATTCGGTTACTGTGCAGTAAGGATCAGGAGAATCCGTAGATATACTTCATGAATGCGCGGACAACAAAAAAGCCACACTGTTGGTAAAACACCCACTCCCATACTCTGGAAATCATAGGATGCGGATAACCAGTTGTACTTAGTCCACAGTATTACAGCCCAACTGACCTATCACTTCGTCACTGTCCTCTAGATGGCCTGGAGGTAGTTGCTTCAGGCAGTGATCGACAAGCTTATTATCGGCACGCAGGGAGGGGTTGGTGGGGCATTTGTGACATATTGAGTCGGCCTAGTTGAGAAAAATTCTACCCCTCCTAAGCGAACACTACGGTAATTACAAAATTCGGAAGCCTTTCGCAAACGTGGATGAATATTCGCAGGGCTTCAAGTTGTTAGTAATATGTGATTGTCCGGCAAAATGAATCGAGCTGGGAATTCTTTCGCTCAGACCTACCGAAATTCCATTTTTGTCACTCTAGACTCCGAGGACGTCGTAAAGATAGCTGATATAGATAAGGCTTGCGCGACGGACTGAAAAGGCATGGGGAATTTGTGAAGATGGGAGTTTCTGGACTGATTGCCATTTGCCAGGCAGTTTTTTGACTATTATTCCTCTGTCACGGAATTTTGAAAAAAATTCGAAAGTATCAGTGGCCAAAAAAGAGTCTTTTATTTAAGTGGTATTATTTCTTAAGTGACGCACTATCACCAAGTAGTGTCTTCCGTCTGATATAAATTGCTTCTTAGTCAGTTCCTCTGATGCCACCGAAAAAGCGGCCCGATGAGGCTATTCAACAAGATACTTTTGGAAATCCTAGTGGCTGCATATAAAATTGGGCGAGGTATCTCGAGTTCTGTGGCTCTTCTAGTCCTCGTTCTGCTCTCCAAAGTCTAGAAAAGGATTGTGGGTGGAAGCGTGTGCATCACTTGATTAGCCTACTGATTTCAGTGCCTTTCTGAACAATTTTATTAAGAAAACGTCTGAGTAATGCTCTCTCAGTTGGATTGCCTATTCATCGGCCGATTATTTTTCCTTCGCTTCATACTGACAAGCTCAAATGTATGTTAAATATGGTGGTGACAGTGCTGTCGGAAACGCTGTCAAAAACATACGCTGATTTCCAACTATCTAAGGAGGGTTTGAGTATATTTATCAAAAAACGGTTCAATAGTACGATTAAACGAGCATATACTACCAATAGACTTATGGTTGAGATGACAAACATAAGGCGTTTGGCATACACATAGGCCTTTAAAGGTTTCTGGAGTTACAAAAATGGGTAGAAACCCTGTTGGTCAAACGCATTCCAAACTGGCTGTTGATGGCAGACAACAAGCTGCGGAGAAAGTTGAACGCGAGGCAGTCGGTAGACACTGATCACACTGTGGATGCAGGATGATAGTTAAGGCTATCTTTAGAGCGGAAAAAACTTGCTTCCCAAGTGATTCTGAGTGAGCAGCAATAGAAAACGAAAGTTGAGCTGTACAAGTAGGCCAATCTTGTAAATAATACCGAATTGCCCTAGTAGAGAACCCATACGAATGCGAGTTAACAAACCGGCATGAGTTTTCTGCTGGTTACACATAGAATTGAATACAACAAACGGCTGAATAGTCAGCGAATTTGACATATCGTCAATCAACGCAGGTGTTTTGACTTTGTAGGAGTTTTTTGCCGGGAGGGGACACGCTATAAACTTTTTAGTTTATCCTGTAGCTGAACTGCTGTCCTTATTTTTATGGTCAATACTTTTAGATAGGTGCGTTACGGTGTGTGCTCTGTTGGCGGTCTCGTTTCATTGTTGCCGAGTCTACCTTTTTCGGTTCAATGCCGGTGGTCCTTCTTGACATTCGGCCTCTTGTTTCCTAACTTTCGCGTTGGATATTTCAGGGTTAGGGCTTGGGGCTACGGTTAAGGGTTAGGTTTGGGTTGGGGTTATGGGTCAGAGTTTGGGTTAGTGTTTAGGGCAACTATTTTTCCACCACTCGTGCAACCACGCATTCCCAATAGCTTTTCTTTTGCATACAATTACTTGACCTCGTCACCTGTGCGTTCCTCGGCCACAC